GAAAAGAGGCGAGGCACCATTTGCTGCTCCCTGCCCCAGCCATGGAGAACGCGCACACAAAGACTGTGGAGGAAGTTTTGGCTTATTTCGGCGTCAACGAAAGCACCCCCCAACTTTCTCCCTTTTTCACCCCTTTCTCTTTTTCGCTCTTCCTTCTCCGGGCCCTGTTTTCAAGGCCTAACGTTGTGTGTGTGTGTGCAAAGCCGGCATCTCTTGCAGGACCCGGAATAGGAGCGACCCCCCCCAAATTTCTCCCTTTTTCACCCCTTTCTCTTTTTCGCTCTTCCTTCTCCGGGCCCTGTTTTCAAGGCCTAACGTTGTGTGTGTGTGTGCAAAGCCGGCATCTCTTGCAGGACCCGGAATAGGAGCGAGGGAGAGAAGATGGCTGACTTGAACTCCACCTCGTGGGTTTCTTTCATACCCCGAGCTCGCAGGGCTGCTTTGGAAAGGAGGATGTCACCTCCCTTTCCTTTCACCTTAACGGTGGGAAATCTTCCATTCTGCAACGAAGCGCTGTGGGTTTTGGGTTTGGTTTTTGGGTTTTTGGTTTTTTTTTTTTGTCCGTCTTGACCTTCATTTTCCTCAGCTTTTCAGTGCCTTTCTGTCCTTTTTTTAACATTCTTTCGAGTCGGGGCACAGAATTCAGCCCATAAGGTGTTTCTTTTTTTTGAATCCTTATTGCTTGGCCTTCCTAGTCCCTTTTGAACTCCCATGCCGTTGGGTAAAATTGAAAAGCTGTGAGAAGATTATACGGTGGGGTTTGGGTTTTTTTTTTTAGCTTGAACAGTGCTTTTATGCCTCTTGAATTACTAAATCTAGTTGCGGGGTAATAGAAGAGGGAGCAGAAATGAGAAAATACCCTTAAAATGGAGGAAAGAATTTGAAATATTTTGAACCAGGTTTGGTGGTTTGTTTCTTTTAAGTGAATGTGAAGGAAAACCTTTGTCAGAAAGCGTTTGAACAGCATTTTGAGCCTTTGACCCTTTGTGTGCAGCAACAGCAGAAGTCCCACAGCTGACTGGAGTGATGACTTGGCTGAATTACAACCCTTAGCACACTCCGGCTAACCTGTATGTGTCTTAAAATGCAAAACTATCAGGCCTATTCAGATGCTGTAATGAAAAGAGCCGCCTTAATGGAGCTTTCAGTATGTCTGTCAAATCCAACCCAGTTCAGCATGCAATTCGGGAACAGTATCTGGTGGATGCCTTATAATGCTCTAATGTGTTTCTTCAATGATTTCTTTTCTTTGACATGCTTCCTGGAAAAACCTTCCACTGACAGAGTTACCGGCTGAGGAAGGTAAGCATGTTCATTATATCATCTGCTGATTCTTGTTGATAATTCATCATTCTTTTTAATGTGCATAACTAAATGGCTTTGTTACATATTGCAGGAAAAACCTTACTCGAGCTTGTGATTGAGCAGTTCGAAGACTTACTAGTTAGAATTTTGTTGCTGGCAGCTTGCATATCTTTCGTAAGTATGATTATTTTTTTTTATTTATTTCATAGGCTTCTGTATCGCAGAATGACAGATGTTCCAATGTATAGGAACTGTACATACTGACCTTACTGTCTTTCTCAAAAGGTAGCAGTATAAGATGTGAAGTAAATTGCTCTCTTACATTAGTTGTCTTGTGAAGAGGTTTCTGTATGCTAGAAAACAAAATTCCAGGGAACCTTCCATTGCATGAGTCATAAATACGTAACTACACTAGACAGGTATTTTAAAAGTGCTTCTCATTCAACCCAGTTTGCTTATTTGAGGTGGGATTTCCCAATGCTTTTGTTGGCTTTGAAAACTAACCTTGAGTACGTAAGCGTTTAACTGGACATTCTTCTTGCCTTTGAGTTAATCGTTATCAAGCTCAATGTATAATCATTGGAAGACATTTTTGGATGCAATGCAGACTGTAAATAGAATTTACATGGCGAATATTCCAGTTGCCTTCCCTTCCTGATAATAGCAAGGTGACAGTTGTTGCTTTTGACAGTGACAAGAATGATGACGGCTCTGATGGCACCATTGTTGACCAAATTTGGTAACTGACCTTTGGATAGTCTAGTCATTAAATGGACATCTTGCTTTGCATACAAGATTAAAAGAACAAGAACACTTTTAACTTTTTTTTTTTAAAAAGCATGTTTAGGCAATCTTTTTACATAATGTATAAAGGGTATTGTTTGCTGGAAAAACTGGAAAACTGAGAAAGGGCTAAGTATAGAAGGAAGACGAAGGTGGTATGTCTTGGGGAGCTGGACAACAGAAACAAAACTGTGCAGAACATTACATTGTTTAGGTAGGAGTTAAAGTTTATAGTAGACTTTGCCCTGGAGTTGTAATTAACTACTTAAAAAAAAAAAAATGCTGCAGCTCTTGGAGGGGGGGAGTGGAAATTGTGGTGATTCTTTAGCTAAGGGCAAGCTAATTGGGATGGGCAGAGGAGAATGTCCTCTCAAGCTGTTCTGTTTGATGGGAGAAGGATCGCTCTGTTGTGGCTGCTGCAGTATATACTGTGCTGCTGATCCTCCACCAAGAGAGGCTTCAGCTATCCCCACACTGACGCCTTTCATAGTGCTTTGGGTTTTGGTGTGAATATACCATTGCCAGCTGGGCAGTGATTGATGGCATTGATCTTGACCACGGAGACAGATGTGCTTTACTCACTCTTCTGTTTCCTTGAGGAAATCAGGCTGGCTATAGAAAATTGAATAAACCAGTCACTTCTCCTCTTTCCCATTTTCTCCTCCCAGAGGGTGAGAAGGGGATGGGGTTTTGTTCTTGAAAAGTCAGGAGTGTTTCTCCCATCTCATGAGATAAATGATAGTACGGAAGTTTGTTAGCCTTTTGTGCCAAGGTACACTATTTGTTTTTATTATAACCAAATAAGTGAAAAATCAAATTCACCAAACTTTAAGCTTTCATTGCTGAATCTGAGAAAGTATGATACCAGACTGACAGAGGTCATAGAACATAGACTGCCAATCCCTCCTTGAAAACTTGATTAGTGTCTGGATTCAGTTTCTTTTTTCAGTATGCTTAATTTTCCTATCTAATTAAGAGGAGACTGTAGTCTAATGGAGTGTGGGATAGATCTGGGTTCTCTGCTGCTGTGCAACTGGCATGGCATATGACCTTGGACTACTGCTCTGCCTTTTCTGTCTCCTATTTAAGAGTTATGGGTACCCACTATGAATTAATGTTAGTAGTAAAAATTGTCTCTTTCTGATGAAATGTAAAAGAAAAAACTAGATATGTTATAGTTTTGGTACTTCAAAAGCACTTCCCCTTTGTTTCTGGCTTTTTTACTTGCTCAGGTGGTGATCATCTGTTGTCTGTTTTTCTTAGGTTTTCAGGCTTTTTCTTGGTGAAAGCATGTTGGAGACTTTTGTAGTAGCTGTAAAGAACTGTTGAGTATGTTGATGTAAAGACTGTATTGCTGCAAAAATGGGATGTGATTAACATCACGCAAATTCTGGTGTTACTGAAAATGTTTGAATGGAGTACGTAGCTGTGTTAGGCTTGTGGACAGCATTTGTTCCATAAGAACACTTGAAAATACTACATTAAAAACTGAAATTAACATAATGCTGAGATTACAAAATATGCTAAGTCATTCTTCCAATAGAACAACTTAATGCTACAGCTTAACTTCAGTGTGTTTTAGTGCTATCTTTTACAAGCCTTAGAAATTCAGTTTTTCCATTTGTACTGTTGCAAGGCATGCAAAACTGCCAGTACCTTAGAGATCTTGAAATGGATAATTATACTTAAAATGGAGTCAGTTAAATTTGCGTTGGTTTTGGATGTTGAGTAATACTGTTGAGAGCTGCTCTTTAATGAGTCAAGACTTCTGGCTTTCTTGAGGCCAGTGTCAGATCCCACAGAATCATACCATGCAACTTAGTGAAGTGCTGATTCTCACTTCAGTGACTGCTTTTTACTATGATTTATTGTTTGATAGACTGTAAACTGTAACACTTGAGTAGAAAGTAGGACATTGTATAGTGTACCAACAGAATTAAGGTTGGAGAGTGGCTCCTGTTTGAAATAATTTTCAGCTGAAGACTTCTAGGCCTCCTGTGTGTCCAAAAGGGAATTTTCATAAAGATGCTTAAATAGGTTGTTTCCTCTGACACGGGATGGGAAAAGGTGGATTACCAAGGACTTAAGAACAAATGATTGCAAAAGCCCCCAAGTCTTGGAGTTACTCGTGGGGGGGCTGAGTGTTGGAATTGGGCATGAATATATAGCTTTGGCTTAATTTGTGGGGTTTTGGTGTTTGTTTTTTTAAGTGTGTCACTGAAAACTTACTCTAGGTTAAACTCTAGTTTGAATTTGGTTTTTCTGATGATCAAATGCAGTATGTACTTTGTGCTAGTGGCAGAAAATTTACAACGTGTGCTTTCAGGAAAGGCATAGGTGCTGTTAGAGCAGTGAATGTAGCAGTGTTCTTCACCAGCTCTACATCATCAGTTTAAAAATGTTGAAGATTCAGGTATGAGAGAGAGGATCTTGAGGTATATAGATTATTGTTTTGTGTTGTGGAAGCTTTTCTGGTGATTGTGTTGTGATCATAAATCACATTAGATTACTATTGTGACTACATGGAAACAGCTATCTTTAACATTAAGATCGGCGTTAGATTTTTGTGCAGAAACATCTCCTTTTACATACAGTGCCTTTTGTGTCACACCCCCTGTCAGTTATGTGTCAGTAAAATAAATCAGACTAACAGCTGAATCTGTGTCACCCTAGCAGATTGTAGGGGTCATATGCTGCCTGTGTGTTGGCTGTAGATACTATGTCCTACGTTCCAAGTCAGAACTGCTTTCAGAGATGTGACTAGTTAGTAACAGCTTAAACCTTACACTGTTTTTTCCTCAGTATTTTTATTGGTCTTAAGTATGGGTTTTGAAAAGAAATAATATAAATAATTTCTGATGGTGAGTAAATAGATCTAGGTATAGCCCTGGACCTTGTCTTGTTCTGTTGAATCTGTGAAGCCTATGCAGAAATAAACCTGTAGAGTGTGTCACAGCAGTTCAAGGGCCTTCATAACCTGACTTTCTAGGTGCAAATAAGAGGGTGCTTAATCTTCCATGAACTATGGCTTTTAATTCTTACTATGTGTGTAGCATGTACTCTGATCTACAGTATTTACATAAAAGAACTTGGACAATTGCAAGATACGCTTTAAACAGTGATGTATGCTTAACCATGCAATCTTATCTTTGCATCACACAGTGAATTTTCTTCTACAAGATGGAAGATAAACTCTACCAAAAACTTAAGTATTAATATAACAACCTAAGAGCATTTTCCTGCCCTCCCTCCACTTCTTTGATTCCTAAGCTGATTTAGAAGTGAATGTTCTGGAGATGTTTCCTGATAGCGGATATTGATGTTTAGATTAAAACAATATATTGTGATTTAGTCCAGAGATGATTATAGCCTGTGAATTAGCATGAGTATAACCTAATCTGTGTTGAAAGGTGAGCAAAGCTACTCTTGGGGGAAGTAAGATGTGCCAGTAAAAATGTTGCAGGCTTTGTCCTGAAGTCGCCCCAAAAGCTACCTGTTAAGGTCAGTAGCAGTAAGTATGTGGCACAAGATAAGGATTGCTGTAGAACATTACACTGACATGCTTTTAGGTAAACTCAGATTACTCAATAGCACCTGAGATACCAGCTGATGGGTAGGGGTGATAAAACTGTGAGAAGTAATTGTGATTCCATTTTACTTTGTAGAAATTAAACAGTGGGTGCCATGTATCTTTTTTTTTTTTCCTTATTGCCACACAGGAATGTGTTTATTTTCAGAAATACAGACTAGTGTATCTGATGGGTGCTTACAGTCTGCTAACCCAGCAAAATTCTTAATTTTGTACTCATGTGTGGTGAAGATCTGTTGGGGTAGGTTGTTCGGTGGTGGCTTTTTTTCTTCTCTTCTCTCCTTGGGTAGCCAATAAAAATCTCTACTGAATAATAGAACTAAAACTGGGGGATTTTTCTTTAGTATTTCCTAGTGTTCGGTATAACTGACATGGAACAAGTATCAGGACTACTAAAAGAGTTTGCATCTGCTTAATTTTAAGCAAATTTGTATTGAAAAGAGTCATCATTAAAAGAGGGTTTTCTGAGCAGTAGTTAGTACTTTGTCTGAAATATGCTAAATCTTAATTCACAGTATTCTTCTGAGAAGAAAGCTCTCAAAGCAGTCCATAGTTTTACATGACCTGCTTTAATTAGTCCAGTGCTTCTTTTTGTTAGGATGAAATCTTACTCTCCCAGCTTGCTTCTAAGTTTCCATTGTCAAAATGAAAAACAAACAAAAAACCTCCTTAGGTTGCTGACAACAAACTGTTTGCTTTTCCTCTGTTGGTGGTAAGTGGGTACAGCCTGCTGGGCAACAGAATTCTATCTTGAAACTTCTGTTCTTTAATTCTGTTTTTGTTACTTAATGATAAATAGTCATCTGAGACAACTTGCATCCATAACTTGTCTGTCAATACAGAGATTCTTAGCTTGTAGAAATGCATAAAGCTGTAAGGACACTTTTCTTCTAGTTGCTTTTATTGGTAGTCACCTCATTGCTGTCTGAATTCTGCATTGCACCTCTGCCCCCTTTTTACCAATAACCATGAAAGCTATGTTCTATTCTCCTGTCACTGTGTATTTTTTGGCTTAGTGTCCTGCAGGTCCATCCCATTAGGCTTTGATTAAAATAGAGCTATGGCTTGCAGAAGTCTAGCAGCCCTAAAGCAAATACACTGAATGAAAGTTGTCCTTTAAGCTTTCTACGCTGGCTGTTGTTATGGGACTTCTGTGTCTTGCTATTAATTTCCCTTATATTTTCAGACTTGCCTTTCTCTTGAGCAATTACCTTACTCTCTTTTCCTAGTCTTTTAAGCTTCTTAAATTCATGGTAACTTTACTTATTGACCATACTGCCTGAACAGTACATTGGAGATCAATGACCTGGAAATAAAGCTGTTCTACATGTGAGTCTTAATGTGATTAGGGCTAAAATATGGTGGGGCCCTTTTGAGTAGCAGTCAAGTAAAAGATCTCTCATTGAAAATCTCTCCAGAGTGTTATGTGTGCTAATGGAAACTTTTTGATAGGGACTCAATGCCTTGGACAGGAATTATCTAGTCTCTACCAGGCTTCAGCATATGATTCTTTTTTTTACTAAAAAAGCTTAGTTAAATACTTGTATTGCTTGTTCTGCTTTCTCTTTGGTTTTTACTGTGTTTTTGTTTTTACTTCAGGCTACTATCAAATAATAAATCTGATCTGTTACAGCAATGTGTTGTGTATCACAAGTCTCCTAAATGGAGTGTTAATACAGCTGTAGTCTGCTATAACAAACCCAAGAACTTGCAATGTATTCTGTTATTTATCTTTCACTGTTCGTAATCTAACGCTGTGAGAAGATGTAAATAATCAGATCTGTATTGTCAGGATCTCTAATCTGAGTTCACCTGCTCTTTTTGAAATAATGGCTTATCGAAAGAAAAGATCCCTTGAAAACTTAGTTCTGGTTCTCCTTGCCATACTTGGATCTTGCTGTCCTTGTAGCAACTTCCCTTATCTCTTAAAGTTGCAGGCTTTCTCAGGGTTATTTTATGACATCCATGGTCTTCAATCGGAAAAGATTATGGTTTAACATTGTGTAAAGCAGATGTTTTATTCCAGTTAACCTTGTAGGTGCCTGCTCTGTTAGGAACATCACAAAATAATTGAACTTATTTGCTTTGTTGGAAGCAGAATGGGCTCTATGAAATTCCAATTAAAAAGGGGGGGGGTGGGGCAGAAACAGATACTAAGCACCTTTTCTGATGGCAGCATGTGACCTTGTATATACTAAGAAAACTGGATATGAACCATCAGCCGTTTCTGTTGCTCCGCTGGAGGCAACAGCGCTGGTGCAGAGTAAAAGCGGTCCAAGGGGGTAATGCATGGAGTGAAGACTACAATGCACTGTGTGACTGCTCCAGCAGGTCAAATGGCAGAAGTTGTCACTGGGGATTGGAGATTAGTGGTGTGGGAGGAGGGGAGTGTTAAAGGAGAAGCCGCTGCCAGAGCATTTGCACACCATTCAAGGAGTCACACACACACCCCCCGAGTCTTTAGCTGCCAGGATCAGGGTCCCTTCACAGCAGGCGACTCAGTGGGCCGATGGGTGCCCCTTTCCACTCCACCCACCCACCCACCCACCCACACACACACACACACACTCGCTCTCGGGCCTTCTTCAGGCTCGACCCTAGGTTTCCTGCAGGAGTGTGTCAGGCATTGGATTTGATAAAAATAAATAATTGACTTGAGAGGGACAGCAGCAGGGTGAGCCCAGGCTGGGTGCCTCCAGAGAGGGATGTTGAACAAAGAAATCCCTGAACAATTACACCCCTCTGATCTGTACACGCACCGTACACGCACCCCTCACGCGGCTCTTATTCCAATGGTGATTTTTGGTCTGGGGTCTTCTAATATCTTATTGGATTCTTTTTCTGTGTCCAGGCAGGCCATTGACTGCTCTTGTCTTGTTGATTTGCAGTCTCTGCTGAGGGTTGTAGCCTCCTTAGCTTCTGGTTTATGCTTCTTGTGTGCCTCCACTTGCTGGCAGAACATGGGAAACTGAAAAGTCCCAGACTTAGAGATAAACACTACCAAAACACCAGTGTGTTATGGACATTTTCCTCATGCTAAAAGCCTAAACACAGCACTGTACCAGCTGCTAGGAAAATTATTAAGAAAACTGACTCTTGTCGCCTAAAGGCTTCAGCAAATCTAGCCACTCGTGCTAATTAAAGCTAAGCAAGCAGTATAAATCACACCATATTATAACCCTAAGTAATTTATTCAAATTAAAAGGTACATATTCAAGCTAAACAACTAGTATCTCTCAACCGAGATGTGGAGTGTAAGAGATCCTGACTAAATCTTTTCTCCAGAGGGATTACACAGACCCTCAAAACGTGTTGCCAGTTGGAGTGTTTCAGTGTTGTTAATCATAACCTGGATCTTAAGTTTATCGTTTCATAATAAAAAATTGTTGTTGCATTGGATTTGCTTGACAGTCTGTTTTCTGCTTGAGGCTTTCATGCTGCTGCTCCTTCCTTTTAACATCCTGGAGTGTTTCACAATTGAGCAATAGCTCTGAGCAGCGTGTTGGTGGAATTATGGCGCTTGCTTTAGTAACGGTTTGCTCGCTGCAGTCTTCTAGTGATTCAGAGTGCTGTTGCCTGACTACCAGCCCTAATTATCTCAACACGTTGTTCCTATTTACTGTCACTTTCTAGGCTTCCTGTTGCTCAACATGTTGACGAAAAAGCTCTTCCTCTCTGGTCGTGTTAGCTTGACTTTTCTTTAGTAACTGCAGAACTCTGCAGAGGCCCTGACATACACCTGTTCAAGTCAAGTGAATGGCAGAAGCCTAAAACTGGAGTGTAATTCTAAAGCAAATGAATTAAAGTAAAATCTATGTGGAGCCTCTTATGCAAGGCCTCAAGTTAATTTACTTTTCGCAAAACAGTTTTAATTTGAGTTTTATCAGCTACTCGGCTCAGAATTCAGCTTCAGATGTAATAGAATTCACTTAAATGCTTCAATAAGATGCTACTTGTATTTAAATAAATAGATGGTTACTTTTTGTATCTACTCACTGAAAACTTCTAAAGCTCTCTTCATTTGTGTGTCTAAGTTAATGGTAAAGAACAATTAACTTGGTTAAAATTCCGATTCTTGCAAAGATTTAGTGTTCTAAGTAGCCAAACTATTCTGTCTGCATCCTGCTTTGGACACTAGTGAAACACTTTTTTGAAACTTTGCACTGCCATAGCTGTTTTCACAACTTCTGCTTTCACTTGTGAAGCAAATGTAGCAATATGTTTCCCAAATAAATAGCTTGCCCCTTTAAAGAAGGGCAGCCTTAGAAATGAACTTTGTACTAGTTCAGTAAAGATTTTTCTCCTTTTCCATTGCGTATTGCCAACTCATTCATGAACTACAAAATTACGCCTTGGGAGATTGAAGGGTTTCAAAAATTGCTCAAGTCTAAGCAGTTGAATCTCAAGGTGAAACTTACTGGGTCTTAAGCTTGCAAGGTGTCTGTGTAATTCACTAATTTAAATCATTGTGTTTCTTTTGCAGGTCCTGGCCTGGTTTGAAGAAGGTGAAGAAACAATCACAGCATTTGTAGAGCCTTTTGTAATCTTGCTTATATTAGTAGCCAATGCAATTGTGGGAGTGTGGCAGGTAAGCGATATTTTTACAATATCAAATCACAAATGTTTGGGCTTTTGTTTTTTTTGTTTAAGAGGAAGGACTGTGTAGTGTAAGGTGCTTCATAAAACTCACGTAATGTGTGTTGCTAACCTTAGATTCCTGAGAGACAACATACCATAAAACTTCTGGACGGAAGTGTTGACTTAAAGGTAGAATGAAAGCTTTGGAAATATTGCCAAAAAGGCAAAGTGCCCATTGGTGTGGCACCTCCTTCCAGAAGGAGGGCCTGAATTCAGGAAATAAATCAAATATTGAAAAGCTAAAAAAATCAAGGATTGGCTTGCAAAAAAAAAGAGGTTTTGTCCCAACTAAGGAACAAAGGATGGAACGCGTAACCTAGTTTCTTGCTTGTTTCCTGTTGAGACAAATGCTATATTTTAGTACATTTATTAATACATTTAATACAGTATTAATTATTCCTATTAAATTACTATAGTACCTATTAAGTCCACATCTAAAGACTGTATGTCTGTCAAAAGGCAGATGTTTCTTCTGAAAACATCTGAATACTATGTAATTTTTTTCCTACATTATCAGCTGTCAGATGAATTCGATGGCTTTTTCTAAATCATATCAGCAGTAACTTCAGTAACATTCTTACACTTCTTGAGATGCCAAAACAAAATAGTTCATATAACTTCAGTTTACTAATTTGATCACTTCAGACAGGGCATTTTTTATTAGAACTGCTTTTCTGCAGATAAAAAGTATTCCAGGATTTTTAGGGTAATACAAGTTCTTTGTAAGGTTGTTTGTTTTTTAAATGGGGTGGTATTAATGTGACATAATTACTTGCTATCTTAGCAAGTTAGGTTTCATGCTTTTAAAAACAAAACAAACCTGCAAAGCTGTCCAAAATGACAACAAAAATTGAGAGGAGGAGCCCTATTAACAGGTTGAAATATGTTAGAGAAGGGTCTAGACACTGGAAGGCACCAGAAGTGTCATTCAGTGGCATTGATGCATATTCCTGCGCTCTGCTTTGTGTTAGCCCAAGTAAGCTGCTTGGAGCCTGTCACTTGAAAAAGTACGTTTTTAGCAGTACCCAGCTTGCTGCACAACTGCTAACGCTGGTATGGAGAGAGGTAAAGTTGATCAAGGGATGATAGCATTGCCCCCTTAAGTGTTGTTTTCTATTCAGATCTTCTTAAAGCAATTGTGCAAGAATTAATCTTTTAACTTTGAGAATTTTGCATGTAGTAATTCTAAGTATGAAATGTAAACCTATCTGTAAAGCTATAGTTTGGGGATCTTCTTGTGTACTTGCTTACCCTGTTTTAGGAAATAACCAATTGTTTTTTGGACATGATAGTGTGCAAAGAATACCTATATATCTCTCTCTACAAGTGGTGAACTTAAACGTGAAACAGAATTGCTGTACAGATTAAATGACTCATTCCCTTGTTTTAATGGGCATGGAAAATAAGTCACAGTACATAGTCTCCACCTATAAATGTATCTGTTTCTACAGGTACTCGACGTGAGCAACTGAGTCATTGCCTTAGCTCTGTCCTCCTCAACCTTTCCTCTCACGTGCTCTTTTCCCAAAGTGCCATCTGCTAGTACTTCAGTGGCTGGCAAGATAGTCTAACTACTGTAACTTCAAGCAAACTGGGAACAAAGAGCCGTACACACTGAGCTGTCTGTCCTAGCTGAATCACATTTAATTCTTTCTTATTTCTCCTTCTTGAAGGAAAAAATCCGTTTAACTAACCTTCCATTTGTTGGGACTTTCTTTTGTACCTTTAATGTTTTGCCTAATGCTAACTCTTAGTTAATCCACAGAAAAGCAGTATCAGCATTATTGTGCTGATGAGCAGAATTAATTTACCTGGTGGAATATAAGGCTGGTATTAATTATAGCTTTATGGGTCTGTCTGCTTGGTACTGAGCTGTGCCATGTAAAAGTTAGTCCTTAAAGGTAGTTTTGGTAGTGCTGGTTTTCGGCTGCATTGTTATATGGAAGTACGTAGTACCTCAACCTTTGAATTTCTCAAGATGAGGTTTCTGCTTTGATACCTGCAGGAGGAAGTTTTTATTATCTGGAAAGGCTGGTATATATTTGAAGGGCGGACATCCTAAAAACTGTGTGCCTCCCTACCATTGCCTATTAATCATAAGGCAAATATGATGTTTGTACTTGTCAATAGGATGGAAAATAAGTTATTTCTCCAAGAGCTAGAGAAGGAGGACTGATGAGCTGTTGGTTTCTCATGTTGTCCTTTATCCAGGTGGCATTATGTTGTTGATATAAATCTCTGGTAATGCTTAGCTGAGAGAACTGCACTTGAGATAGGAAAGCTATTCTTATAGCCTTAGTGGAAATAAAAAGGTTGTCATGTGTGGGGATTCATCTAAGTTCAGAAACTGTTAGAGACTCCAGGGAAGTTTCTAGTCTGTGTGCTTTAATTTCACTTCAGTGCAACTTGATTTGCTGAAACGAAGTTGATAATAGGCTGTTTGAGTGTTGTCTTAACTTGACCCTTGATTTCTATCAGTAAGTGAAATTCAGTAGTGCTAGTGCTCTCCAGTCTGAGCCTAAGCTGCTCCAGCTGGTAAGGTACAGCTGAGACAGGACTACATCCATGAGTCTTGATTCTGCTTAGTGCTTTTTCTTATGTTAAACATCCATATGTTGCAGAGAACTTTGCGTGGCCTTCCTGTAACAAGATGCAGTGGATCTTGATGGGAAATGCTGTGGAGTTCGAATAAGCAACTTGTAGGTTCTGAATGCCCACTAATGTGTGAATTATGTTGTAACGGTTTCCAGTCAGCAACCTCATAAGGGCAGAGGTCACATAATTTTCTGTGTGAATAAATGTAGTTGAGCTGAGTCAGTAGTATTCATATGATAATGCATTTCAAAAATCAGATCTGACATACGTATTTTTCATTGAGTGAGGGCTTTTAAAATTACACCTTTTTGCTGTTTTTTTAGGAAAGAAATGCTGAAAATGCTATTGAAGCTCTTAAAGAATATGAACCAGAAATGGGCAAGGTATATCGACAAGACCGAAAAAGTGTACAGAGGATTAAAGCGAGAGATATTGTCCCAGGTGATATTGTAGAAGTGGCAGGTAAGGCTCGTTTATGTAGTACCTACATGTATTAGCATATTATTGTAAAATTATTGTGGGGCCCTTTTCTTAATGATTTGAGGCCCTGGGGGGAGTTTTCAAAGACGCCTAAGTATATGCTTCGCTTAAGAACAATCTTGCTTCTGTTTGTCTGTAATTACCTTAAATGTGCATTTGCACTGGAGGGGATTGTTTTTCAAATTACCACTTAGTTTAATTGGTAGGTCTAAAAGCAAAGCATCTTAATTGGAGTACAGGTTTTAATACTTGTCATGACTCTAAAATTTTGTTTTCTAAAGTCTGGTTTCAGAGTGTCTTATAACTTGTCTGGTTTCTGTCACAAAATGCTTTCCCTTGCTTTTTAATTTGTTCAATTTCCTTAGGTTCTGGAATGCAGACTACTGTGGTTTTGTTTGGTTTTTTTTTAGTCACACTCTGTCCTTTATTGAAGGAAAGCTAATTTCATCTGAAGGTTTTTTCCAACTCATACACTTGCAGTAGCAGTGCCTTTCAACTTCTCTTTACAAATGTCTTCCTCTGTCCTCTCAGCTCGTATGATGGGCGTGTGACCTCATTGTTTTCTTCCGTTGATACTTCAGTGTTTCTTTTGTCTACTGCTGTATAGGGTACTGTAAATACATAACTGTACAAAGCAGAGCTGCCTATTTCTCCGGTATAAGCATTTGAACTACCAGTCTTAAAAGGTTGGACTTTTGCATCAAGCTTTCTAATAACTTAGATTTGCCCTAAAAGGCATATCTTTATTTGGACGGAGTGCAAAGATACAAGTATTGGCTACTTATATGTAAGATTCCTTCATTTTGGTGATAATGCCACACCAATAACTTTTTCTCTAACCTGGACTTGTGAGTGACTTCAATGTTTCTGATTCCTACCCAGATAAAACTAGGTGGTTCTTCTTAAGTGTCAGGAGTAATTGCGTACTCATATTTTGTAGGTCATTATCAACTGTTAACCGAGTGATTGTTCCTCTGGGAACAATTTCGGGTGTACATCCAACTTTTTCTTTCCACTAGTGTCACTTTGCTTTTAGAGGTGGTAGCAGTCTCAGGAGGAGATAAATATATACCCTTAAACTTGACTATCCTCCTATTTTAATTAGCAGGCAGAGAGAGTATGCACTCAAAATTAAGTTGGTGTTGGCTGTCTGCCCAGCTTTCGTTCCTTGAGAAACTTTAATGTTTGCTGAGCCCTGTCTTGAGCCTCCGTTTTATGCATAGGATGATTCAGCTGCAGCAGCCCTGGCTAGGGTAATTCAGAGTGTGAATCTCATGAAGGCTGAAGCTAGTTTCCTCTTAGCATTTGTCGCTGAAGAACAAGTACAAATACAAAGTGCTGATAGCTGAAATAAAGGGTGAATTGTGATACCTTGTCACTTACTCTGCTGTTTTGACTCAGTATTGCTGCACTGTACAGTCAAATCCCTGAGTTCTGCAGTGAGATTTTCTTTAAACAGCTGAGGTTTTCTGCATCCTTTTGAGGCAAACAGAACTGTATAAATTAGATTCTGCAGTAGATGTGTAGTCCAAATCTTTATTCTGTTTTTAAGTGTCAGCAATAAAATGGGTAGTTTTGAAAGCAGTTTATATTGTGGGAGTACGCTGGGGTTGTGTTTTTTGGTGGTTTAAAGCAGTACTGGTAGAATTGCAAGTTGAAGACTGTGTATTTTGTACTGGTTTGGACTATCTTGCTAAGGAAAAAAGCTGGATTTTGCTGCTCTGCCAGGTGTCTAGAGCACAGAAAACTTCCCGCTTGATTCTTTGCTATTTGGGAAGAGGTAGAGATTATATTTTCATCTTACAGAAAAAGACAAAGCTAAAGTTGTATGTGAAACTCCTGGGGGCTTTTACTTCTCTTGCTGTATGTTGTCAATATCAATGAAATCAATTACTTGTGCCTTGAGACATCTCTTTAAAAGGCTTATGTCTGAAGGAGAGAATGAATTGGAAATAAATTTCTGACTAACATACCTGTAACAGCAGGCTGTCTTTAACAAATGTTGTATCCTAATTTTCATAGGGTTACTATTGCATTATTTTGAAATCTGTTTGTAGAACAGTGTCTGATAGCCCAACACATGTTGAACTAATTTATTTTTTTTAAAAAAGGACAAACTTAAAAACTAGTATGCTTATGTAGAGAAACAAAAATTATCCAACTTCTATGACTGTCCTTTAAGATAGGTGGTCTAGCTTGTTGACTGTAGAAGCTCATGCTGTTTAAAATACTCACTTAAACTGGTGGGTGAAAGAGTCTTTTAAGTTAGTCTTAAGCACTCACCATACTTATTAGCAAATATCATCAACTGCAGCGTCAAGTGAAGGTAACTAAGCGTAAGTCATGTGAATGTTTAATACAGAAATAAGTGCTTCAGCGTAATACAAACTTTGCTACTGAAACAATAAATTCTAACTTATAGATAGACAATGATGAAATTTTAATGGTAATCAAACTGAGAAAAGCTAGTGAGCAAGTAGAGGAGAGCAATACACTATGTACCAGTGTTAGTGTCAAGACCTGGAGGTGAGAGAGACTGTGTGCATGCCTGTGCCTCAAGTGTAAGAGTACTGCGATGGCCTTTGACATGGTGTTTGCAAAAAGATGACCATGTAGGGAAGTGACAGAGCACTTCATACTAGGATACATATCTGGGTATGGAATTCTAGGCAAAGTGCCAATGACATTTGTATGTCCAGGCAAATATCTTTCAACCGAGTGGCATAAATAACCAGGTGATAGGTTTCTCCCCTGTGCCGATACCTAATTTTGAACAACTTTCTATAGGTCTTCTATTGCAAAATACTTGTATTTAATGTTATAACAGCTCCGTTAATTTGAAGTAGCTATATGTGGATCTGACACAGAACTCTTCCCCTGACCTGCAATATCAATCTTCCAGTTCCTACAAGGAAATGGAGGGATATGTTTGCCTCTTTACGTTGCAAGAGTTCCCTGAGAGTAAGTAGCACTGAACTATTTCCAAAATCATGTGGTATTTTCAGTAGTTCTGAACCCATTAAAGATAACCTGGTTGGCTTAGTGTAACCCAAAGACAGTGCAATAATAGTTTATACTATTACTTTTTATTTTGGCTTCTTAGCCTATTTGTAGAATTTGACTGTGTTCATTATATAGACTATTCAGTCTGCCTCGTGGCCTTCTAAAATAAAGCTTCTGGAAGATATTTTCTTTAACTGATCTGTCAACAGAGGACATGGGTGCTGGTTTTTTGACTTGAAGTAACAAGAGGAAACTGCAGGTCTGTGTCGCCTTGCAATAAATATATGAGTAACCTGAATTAGATTATCCCTTCAGTGGTAGATAACCTGCTGTCTTACGCGTCTCTTGGGGACCAGTGTGCATATAGGTACTGCAGAACACGTGATGAGCAATTACTGGTCTTTATGCCTGGTAGCTAATAAATTCAACATAAATGCTACACTAAAATTTTGCAAGTATACTAGTAGATGCTGTAGGCCGTATTTGCTCAGAGACTGTGCAGACATGAATTTCTTAACTGTGTGTGTTAGGAAGGCTTTCTTCCATATCGACTTAAGGAGCGATGGTGGAAAAGATACTGTACAATCAACAGGAACTCTTTGGGATGAAGTTGGGGTTACGGGTTTGGGATGTACGCCTTAAACTTGCTTGCAGACCTCTGGTGGGCATAGTTCTCAGAACTGTACTGTATAAGGGTTACTAAGCTACATTGTTTGTTTCTTAGAACTGATGAACTGAAAAAAAATCCAGATGCTGTCCTCAAGTGGCTTTTCAGTTTGCCTGTCTTAAAATGGATTATCGTGCTGCTATAAAAGCTTATTGGAGGATACACTCTAAATTTGTAACCAGTGGCTGTCTTACTAGATTAAAGATGTCCTTTGTTTTAGTTAAGTTTTTGTTTACCTCAGTTGAAGTAACATTTTAAAGAGAAACTTCAAACAGCATGGCCTTAGTTCTTTGAAGTTTTGTATGAAGTCCAGTCTGAAAAATTGGGATAAATTGGTTGCAAATAATTTATTTTTAAAGTAGTACATTTGGGAACAGAAATTACCTTTGTTCACTTCTCTTGTATTTTCCTGTCTAAAATGTTCTATTTTAGATACAGCATCTCTGACTTTCTGTAATTTAATAAATGAATGTTTGTTAGTTGCAATCTGTAAGTGACCAAACCAGTGTTACAGTAGTTCCTCTTTTCCCTGAAGTGCTGAATGATGGTTCTTGTCATCTGTTATTATATCTGTAAGTACTCAACAGCTTAAAAATAAACATAGAGTTCCCAGAAGCTGTTGCTTATTAAATTAGTGTGTATTCCAAAAGACTTAGCTTTACATTTATACCTGGCATAAAGTATGCAAGAACTACTTTCTGAGGCTTTTAATTCTAACTGCAGAGTACTTTAAGACTCTTTCTACAGCATAGATGCCCTGTAATTAAGGGAAGATAAATTTTGGGGTGAAGCAGATTGGGAAGGAAGATTCTTAAGGTGAATTATGTCAAACTCCAATGTGGTTATGAAGAGCTACAGGTTCTCCGTGACTGTATAAGCAACAAACATTAATGTCACAGATCTTACTCCAAAACATCTGGGTCCTTGTGCCTGTGTTACTTTTCTAATAACTACAGTTGATTTTCAGACTTGGTGCTAGAGATGCAGGTTTACTTTTTTTGAAAAGTATTGAGATTGGAGGAAAAAAAAAACATTGACAAGGATGGAGTAAGATTTAAGTCCAGAATGGTGACCTGCTGGAGGCTGTCCTAAAAGCATACACATACTGCTGAGAGCATCTCTTGATATAGAAAGAAGTTGACTGCAAGTTGGTTTTGTTTGGGTTTTTCTTTTTTTACCTAGCACAGATTTTTTGGTTTGATTTTTAAAGATCAAGTATGTATTTTGCTTTTTTCCCCATAAAGTACTGCTTTTGAATGAGGAAAAATACAGAAGATCAATCAGTGGTTAATAAATACACATACAAGGAGTG